AGACAGACAGACAGACAGACAGACAGACAGACAGACAGACAGACAGACAGACAGACAGACAGAGACAGAGACAGACAGAGAAAGTGAGATAGACACAGAGAGAAAGAAGGATAGATGCACAGTTCACCCAGTCCTAACCACAGTGACTGGGTAGCCTATGATCTAGGCCTGGATCGTGGCACCCTTCCATTCTTGAAAAACCTCAAAAAGGAAGTTTAGTTAAAATCAGTGTGCAGGCTCACGTGTCCAAACCACAGTTTTTCTACACTACCCGTCACACCGGACGACTCGATGTGGAGCACAGGCATATTCTTATCTGACCCTCTTCGCTTCGTTCAGGCAGACTCATTGAACAAGTGATTAGTTATACATGCAACAATTCCTTGTCATCTACATCATGTAGATCAGGGAGTCGCACTCAAACATTTGCCGATGATTTGAATAATTATGACTCTCTGATGAGGTGATGGCATGATGACATAAAAGTTGATAAAACTGATAAAAGCCAAAACTAATTTTTGTACTTGCAAAAGATCTGATCTGGCTTGCCCTTGGCTTCGGCCGGCTCGTCATCATGGTCATGCCATGCCAGTGCAGTGAGCTGAGTTCAGGCCGCAATAATTATTACAATCTGCGTCACTTCCTGAATGAAACGATCGCAGAAATGTTTGTGGTTCAGTCTTGAAATATTGCATGTCTTCTTTGATACTTTACTGTTCTAGGGAATAATGAGTATCGACGTGAAGCAGCAAAAGATGGCGGCTGTCGAGCCTGGCTTTGTGTTTGATGAAGAGAGTTTCCCTAATCCTGACCTTCCACACGGCCTAGATGTGGTGGAGGTATGTGCCGAAAATCTACGCAGCAGGACGGGATTTTGAGTTTGTTGGTATAGAATCTGGAAATGAATGAACAATGATACATTGTAGTCAGTAGTGAAGCGATGAAAAGTGACGTTTGCCGCTGTCTTTCTCCTGGACTTTCCTGTTGAGGTTCCGCTCAGGCTTGCCACGCCGGAGTCGCTCAAAGGCTTCGGCATCCTGATCTCGCAGCCAGATGAGCTTACTGTGGAGAAGAAGAACTTTGAAATCGTCAAGTGGCCCGTGGGTGGCTGGCGAGAGCTGGATCCCAACACTGGAGATGAAGCCGGTACGACCGAGGGCGACTTTGAGGTACATGAAATCAGCGGTGAGCTAAATATATACCTGGTCTGTGCTAAACACGTGTACATCCTTCGTGTGTGTATGTGTGTGTGTGTGTGCACGCGTGCATGTGTGTGTGTGTGCATGCGTGCGTGTGTGTGTGTGTACGTGTTGGAATCTTGCACCAAGGTCCACTGGCAGGGCGACTACTATATGGGCAAAAACCTGGCCATTAACACGACCAACAATGTCTACTTGGACGGCCTAGGCTGCAAGCCGGAGCATGCTTCACGCACGGACACCGATGCATGTGGCAGTGATGACAACATCTACCTATGGATGTCTGACTACCACCCGGATGGCGGTCAGCTTTTCTACCCGCGCGGGGATCCCGTCCCATTCACCGTTTGCCTCGGCCCAGCATCCTGCGGAGATGACGTCAAACCAACCGATATGGTCTCCTTTCACGTGCCTGCCGGCAAAGGTGTGTACATCCATCCGGGTACGTGGCACAACGGAGTGTACATGCGCAAGAAGTACTGCCCCGCTACGATGCTGACGCGCCAGGGACGGGTGCATGGTCGTGTCAGTGCCAGCTGGGCGGCTGAGTTCAAGTGCCTACTGAAAGTATCCTTACTGCCAACAGCCGAGTAATACGCAGTACACGTGCTGTGCGTCTAGCTACAACAGACATCCCTGGGTGCGATACTCCCTCGCATAATATACATGCACTCTGTGCTGACATCACACTACTAGCTCTAGCTCCGTCATTACCTCTACAGCCTCCTGCCTTCAACTTGCTCACACCTTGCTCACTACCTCCTGCACCAGCCACACATTCTGCGCTAACATTGCATTGCTAGCCCTGTCACTGCCTCTACAGCCTGCCTACCTACTGCCTACAACAACCACACACTCTGCACACAGCCGCCTACCTAAAATAATACCTCTAGCCGTGAAACCTATACAACCCCTACATTCATATACAGCTTTTCATCCAGCGCTACAAGACCCACCCTCTCCTGGTGTATATACCGGCATGGCCAGTAGTAGTACCCCATCCTCATGCTGCCTGATGATTGCGAGAGCATGAAACTTTGAGTAGCGACAAGCAAACCTTGATTACCCTTGTTCTGTATACTCCCAAACAAATACTGTGCTGTATTATTCCGGTATAAACTATAGCCGAAGCCGATTTCGTGTTTCTCTGGCTTGCATTGAATAATCCAACTTCTTTTCACCCCCTGTGTGGCAACTGAACTAGCTCTATGCCAGTGTGTTTTGAGCATCCTATGTCATTTTGACAGACAACATGAAGATGGTAATTAGAATCACTGTCCTTTACACCCAGCTCAATTTTATTGGGTCACGGTTCCCTTCAGAAGGAAATACTCTGCTTCTGCAGGATTACCCTGGCAAATTATGATTCACTACTTCTTTCACGTACTGCAAGTATCTAAGACAGTCACACCTCTATGTGGAGAGTGGGTTGCGCGATCTTGTATTGAACACAAACTTTGCCAGTTATTCTGGTCTTTATGCTTCTACACACAATGGAACTGGAGTCGTTTTTCGTCTTTTCTTACAAGATATCCACAAACCATCATGGCGCAAACGCCAGCAAGAAATCACAGGGAGGCACACAGCGATGGCAGCCGAAGAAGTGGAGGCAGGACAGGAGCAGCTAAACCGACCCTGGGTCTCGGTAGCAACACTGCTCATGTGTGCCAAGCGGAAAAAATGCTAACTGAAAATGGAAGTTGAGAGAAAATTGCCAAATGAAAAGAACATGAACAGGAGCTAGGGTCTAGCGGATAATGCCGGCCGAAAAATTGGCAGAATTCGGTACTTTTCTGGTAAGTTTCATGCATGTTTGGTATGTGGATAAAGAAATGGAGCAGAATTCGAGGAATTGCCCGCCATAAGGTTTGTATGACTCTGCCAATTTTACTGCTTTTCGAGCAGAATCTGCCACCTTTTCGAGCAGAATCCGCCGGTCCCTAACAGGAGCACTAGGGTAGTAGGGTAGTAGGGAGCAAGTGACTCAGAGACATACTGGTTTTCATGTACATCATGTATGTGGTGTACATGAACATTACTGTACATGGAAGTGCTAGTACATGTACATGTACATGATTGGTATTAGATAATCCAATACTACAGTGCTGGCAACTGAAATCCGACCCCCCCCTAGCGTCTCGTACGAATCGCTAACGCGGCTGGGGGGGGGGGGGGGTCGGATTTCAGTTGCCAGCACTGTAGTAGTACCGGTAGTACAATGTCATGTACAGTCGTCCCTCTCTAATCCGGCACTTTATAATCCAGCACCCTCGATAAACCAGCACAATTTTCAGTAGCCAAAATGTCCTCTTCATGCACATTGCAGCAGTAAATCAGATTTGTTAATCCAGCACCCTCCCTAATCCAGCAGATTTTCGTGGCACAAATGGTGCCGGATTATAGAGGGACCACTGTACTAGTATTTCTCACAATGTCATGTTGTTGGTTTGACAGCATGAAACAAGGTGGAGGACACCGTGTTCGGAAACAGTGACCTTACTACTACAACCATCCACGTTTGGTAGAGCCCCAGTCCGTGGTCGGACGCCGGGTTCAACACCCATTATGGTTCAGATGGTCCCAACGGACCTGGGCTCTACCAACCGTGGATGGTTGTAGTAAGGTCATTGTTTCCGAACATGGTGTCCTCTACCTTGTTTCATGCTGTCAAACCAACAACATGTACATGGTGTATGTACATGATTGTACAAGTCATAATCATTAATTTTTACACTGTCCGATATGCCGTGAATGTCTGGGATCTGGTCCTAAAGACCACCTGTTTTGAGAGGACAGTACTGGCAGTAGGATGGTCCTATCCTAGTATGGCTCACGCAACCTTTCATTGAGTAACCGAGATGTTCTCGTGTACGTCGAACCCCATACTGATATACCCGTAAGTGTGGAAATCGTGCGTGTAGTCATGTATGTACAATAATTTGGTCATTGGTTGCCCATCGCATGCACTACCTCGCATGTCCCACGCACAGTCAGACTTTTTTCCAGGCCTCTTATACGGCCACATTAACACAATGGATTAAAATGCAATAAATCATACACTGGAGAAGAAATCAGAAAAATGCATGTGTAAAATAAAGATTTTCAAACCCAAGCCAAAAAAGTACGCAGAGCATTGCCAAGTACGTACAGGGTCGTGATTCGTGAACCGACTAGGCCTTGGTGGATAATGCTCGAAAAGGTGGCAGATTTTGCTCGAAAGGCAGTGAAATTGGCAGAACCATACAAACTTTATGGCGGGCAATTCCTCGAATTCTGCTCCATATCTTTATCCACATACCAAACATGCATGAAACGTACCAGAAAAAATACCGAATTCTGCCAATTTTTCTGCCGGCATTATCCGCAAAGGCCTAGAACCGGGTCGAGAAAGGGAGTTTCAATCAGGGAGTAATAAAATATCATTATATTTTACTACTCACTGGTTTACATACTGACTCTGTAACTCAAAGTTTTGATTGTAAGCAAAGAGGGAAAGTACAGTCCATTTCAAAACTATAGACGCGTACCTAGGCAAAAACCGTTATGCCAGCATCTATACCACATAAAATCTGTGATCACTTTGTGCATAAATTTTTCCAAATCGGGCGTCTGTTATCCAATCCTTTAAGAACTATTATGAGAGTAATTGTGGAGCGATCCTGAGCAATATTCCGAAAACTATTCTCAAAAAGTTCCAGCCAAATTTGAAATATTTCAAAAACCCTACGCGTCTATAGTTTTGAAATGCACTGTAAGTAGTTACCCGAACACGAAGCAAGAGAGACCGGGCGGCACTATAATAATATTATCTTATCTCCTATCATGAGCCTCCCAACGTGAGGCGTCGTTGTTTCCGGTCCTTGAAGTGAGCCGCGGCCGCTCTGCACCGTGGTCCTCCGTCCTTCGTCAATCGTCATCATCTTGTCACAGCTAACATTCCTATTTCGCTGTGATGTTTAGCATATTTTGGTCTTGAGTGCGCCCTCCGCCCCCCCCCCCCCTCTTCTCACGTTAGTTCCTGACTTAGAGCCTTTAAAATTGTTAGGCTGTTGGTTTGCACATTGCAAGACGTGATGGAGCTCATCATCAGGTCGTTGAATGTCAGTATCACATCATTCAGTGGTGTGCTAATTGTTGCACGTTCTGACTCACCAGTCAAGATCATACTTATAATTGTTAGTTTCGGACAGAAAAAAAAGAAAACTTGTAAACCTTCGGTCATCACGTTGTTTTTGTTGTTGTTTTTGTCTGTTTTTGAACACGGGTGGAGTGTGGGTGTGATTGTGAGTGTGAGCATGTGTAAACGTCAGCGTTAGTGCTAGTGTGAGTGTGTGTGTGCATGTGTGTGTGTGTGTGTGTGTGCATGTGTGCGTCTGTGCATGTACCTCAATGATGGTGTACTTTTATCACGTATGGTGTAGGTTCATTCCACCTTGTGTTGCATGATAAAGGTCCGCCCTGTTGTTGTTCTCAGTCTCCTTAATCCTGGTGATGGATCCTGGTCCAAGCTTTTGTTTGAGAAATCTGGTATTTGCACGGAAGAGACTACATATAGTTGCTTTGAGCGTGTGTAGGGTTTTCAGCTTAGAACCAACAGTTAAGTCTAATTTTTTCTTCGTGGAGTAAAATGGATTCCAATGACCTGTATAGCGATCCAGCCTCACGATCACGTGACAAAAAGGAGAGGCGGAAGCGTACCAATCTAAATCATTTGAGTCAAGAAGAAAAGCGTCTGAGAAGAATGAAAGCGAAGCGATTGTACGCCGAACGTTCTCGTAAAAGCAGAAAAGAATATATTCAGCGATTGGAAGAACAATGCCGAAATCTTGAGATCTTAGCCCTCCGTACGTCAGTGCAAGAACTAAAACTACAGCTCCAGAAGGCACAACGTGATGAAAAGATGAGTTCTGTGGGTCCCATTTCTGCTGGCTTCGCACCATACTCCTCTGACGTCAGCACTGCCTCCGTGAACGACAGCCAAGAAAACATCGGCGATAAATTGGGATCGGATAGCAATACACGTGACTGTGCTGCCGTCAAGTCCAATTCCCCAGCACTCAGTGTAACCAGCAACAGCTCTCAATTGCCACCTCGTTCTCCTCCGTACTTGGCTAGCGATGACACCAAGCCCGATCCTACAAAGCCACCGACAGATCTCTTATGTGACGTCGAGATTAGTAAATTTCTTCTACGTCAAGTAGATCAGGTCGGAATGGCTGCGGATACGGCCTATTATGATCTTCAGTCAAACATGCTCAGTTATGATCCGTACCTGACGGATGCTATTAGTATATACATGTAACTGATAGCTGAAGCAGAGAAAGGTCTCTGGCCGGATGAGTCCGAGCCCTTGTCGTTTGACCCTACCTCGGGCTCAGGGTATCTGATTATACAAAAATGGAGTGATAAAATGATATCAATTTTGATGGGCAGTCTCATTTCTATGTCTCGTTTGAACGCAGCGTTTTGTTTTGGCTGTACACACTGGGGGTGTGACCTGTTTGTTTGTTTTTGGTTTGTTTGTACAGTAGTTTGTATTCGTATTTATATTTTATATTGCCTCCAGTTGCCTCATGCGTACTCTGCTGTGATCTAAAACCTTACTTGTCCTATTACAATGCTCCTGGTATAATTATGTTCTGTTCACCTTGGTTATCTCGCCACTTATCTCCGCTGCACAATGTAACACTGCCGATCGGCCATACTCTCTAGTCTCTACGATCATGTGATCATGTTTGCAGCTTTTGGATGTACATTATTATTACATGTATTAGAGTTAGTGCATGTACATGTACATGTACATGAATGCGGACGCCAGTGACAAAACATCGGACTTGTATCAGAGCTCTGACCGGGCAATGAAGCTCTTTATGTGTAGTAATCAGGGAGTAGTAAAACACCTATAATTTTCCTACTCCCTGACAGTAATAATAATACCCATGTGTTCGTGCGAAACTGTTAAATGCCTTATCTCTAATAGTGCCCCTGTCTAAGAGTAAGAGCCAGTGAAAAAAATTAATAAAGCTCTCCCCGGCGTATAACAAAGGCATGTGCAGGTTTGGTGTTCTTTTGCTAATGTTCTTGTCCATACTCCATACCATTGCACTGGTGGTTTCAGGATCAAAGTCGCAGTTCTTATCGCTGTTTCTGAGTTGTGATTAGCCCTTTCCCAAAGATGCTCGCCACTTTTTTCGCAACTTTTCGTTGTTTAGGAAGAAATCGCAACTTTCGCAACTTTCTTAATTTTAGCCAACTATTTCGCAACTTTTCCGCAACCTTGGCCCCATGGCATGGGGTCAAAGGGTCAAGTAGCGGACTACATGTCGAACAAATGCATACTCGCTCATTTCTCACCTGCCTTCAGACTCATTCAGAGAAAAAGTAGATCAACAGTAGTTACGA